ACAACTAAAAAGAGGAACCTTACTTACATTTAAACAAAAAAAACCTTTCTCACAACTATATTACATATCTTATACATAGTTCAAGCAGAAACATCACTAACAAACTGAAGAAGTCGGCACGCGTGGCAGCCCTACAGACGTCGCCGACCTCGAAATCGTAGTTGTTCGCCTCCGTCGCGTCGGCCGTCGAGAAGACGAAAGGCGATCCCGTCGTCCTCCTTTATTTTCTCATACTCTTCCAAGGTCATCTCCTACAAGGAGCAGAAGGGGTTAATATATAGTTGGCAACCTTGGCGCTATAAACTAGTTATTCAAAATTATTTTTTTTTTCTAAAATAAAAACTATAATCTTCCAGACGAGTGATAAACAGAGGCAAGAATACAAATAATCTCAGAGGCAAGAAGTACCAATCCAATATTCAATGCCAACAAGAACAAGAAAATCTGGCTAGTAATTATTTCTATTTAACTTTTAGAAAGATCAATTGATAACCCGTTGACCAAATTATTCTAATACACTGCAAATCATAAAAAATCATTCTGTTCAAATTACTAAATTTAGAATGTTGGGCGATCCCTGAACACGTTTCAATGTTGGGCGGCTGCTGGCGTTGAAGAATCGCTCCGCCTTGAGAGGAAGCTAGGGTTCTTGGAGAGGAGGTCTCCGGCGTCGGCGGCGGAGAAGAATGGGCGGCCGTCGGGGCCTCCGGTGAACAGCATGGAGTCAAGGACTCCGCCGGCGCCGGATCCTGCGGCGACGTCGAAGAAGTCGGCGATCGAGGCTTTTTGATCGCCGGAGATGTCTCGGAGGGTGTGCGACAGAGAGTGGCGCCGGCGAGGATGACGTCGTCGTCGTCGCGGCCGTCTACGCAGATGATGTGGACCTCGCCGGAGGCGGAGGATGAGGGCTTGCCGTGTTGGGGGAGGGGGAGGTCTTGGGGTCAGCTCAAGGAGAAATGGGATCTGGGAGTATTAAATGGGGAAGGGTAAATTGGGAATGGATTTATTGGGTAGTGGGTTTACACAGTACTTGGGGGTTGCTTGCACTACTTTTTCGGTTTAAGAATTTTTGGGTTATGGTTCTTGAACTGAGGGTGGGGATGAATGAGCCAATTTAATTTGGTTCCCCCAAGCAATTTTCCCTAATAAAAATGATAAGGACAAGCTACTGGGAAAAAAATACGCTGTTAGGTCACGCTGGTTCTTTGTACAAAAGTGGAAGATGAGAAGGATGCCTTTTCTAATCTAATAGTTTTCAATATGAGAAAACATCTCAACGCAGGATGAATTATAATCTATAAGATACGAGCTTGCGCTAGAAATATCATCAAACCGTATGTCTTAGCGGTCTAAAAAGTTTACTCTTACATTATTCACTAGTAGAAAATTACATATTCTAGACGGAATATTCTAGACGGAAATTTTTCCGTCTAGAATAACTTATTCTAGACGGAAAATTTCCGTCTAGAATATTCCGTCTAGAATAAATTATTCTAGACGGAATATTCCGTCTAGAATAGTATCCTAGACGGTTCTTATATTTTAATTTTTTTTTTAAAAATAGTCAGGTATTCTAGACGGAAATTTCCGTCTAGAATACCAGACCATTTAAAAAAAAAATTAACCCCTCAAAACCCC